AATCGAACATCGGGCTGAGAGAGGCATGATTGGCGGTATTCTACCATTGAGCCATCGACACACTAACGCACCGATGTAGGAGAGTTTTCACAATGTGATAGTTCACAACTCATGAGTTCACCCGCTGAACATGGAGTAGACACTGAATTTTCTTTCAGGTGAACTGATAAACTTGACACAAGAAGCAATTAATGTGGATATTTTTTATTGGTATCCACCTCAAAAATGCACATCTGCATGTAGATACAGAAAATGATTTTACTGCTAGAAATCAAGCTGAAATTCATTCAAATTGTTTTTTAAAATGATGATTGTCACGATCTCTGAGAGAGTTCAGCATTGGCGACAATGAGTGATGGTCTAAAGTCACCCTGCAAGCAACGCCATCCATTAGATGTACTGGGACTAAAATTATGTGGTGTACTGGACTTCTAGGTAACGCTGAACAAACAAAGATCTGTATCAGGTCATATTATTATTTATACACTAGATTATTTACTCCTATTAAGCGGGATGTATCGACTTCTCGTAAAACATATTTGTGAACACTATTCAGTTTGGATATGAAAAATAAAAACAAAAATCGATCTTCAGACACATGCAACCAAACATCTTGTGAAGTTTTGAGAAAAACTTTACGAAGTAATGAGGCAATAATATCTGATTATGGGAGATTCTAAATTTCAAATGTAATCTTAGAAGTGTTGAAAGCACTTCCAGCATTTGTTTCTATTAATGAAAGCATAAAATGATGGTCATTCAGCATAAATAGTTTATTTTATTAATTATATTCAGCCGTAAGACGAGTTTTCTATTATTGACAGAGTTTGATAAGCCTCCCTTTAGATAAGTACAACATTGTAATGCTAATAAGCTTGAACAAATCACAGTTTCCCCTCATCACTTTCGAATTCCGAAATCAAACGAAACAATTTTTATTTCTAATGTTCACTGATTAAGACAGTAGATAAAACTATACTTAGAATTTCAAAAGAAAAAAAACAAACAACAAAAACAACGGAGAACACAAAACGATTCACTTCCAGCGATGTGTTACAGATTCAAATTTAACGCTACATTGAAAAAGTCAACTTAGCAAAGGCCACTTTATCGACTGAATAAATGAAAAAGCCAAACCAACATTCGAATGGTTGTTGTGTTTTGTATTTTTGCCATTAACCAGCCAGGTAGGGGGATAAATGAATATTACAGAAAAAAGGGTTAAGACACAATCTCAACCAATTTTTACCTGCTTACTGTATCAGCACTGATTTAAACGCCTAGAGAGGAAAGCAGTTAGGAGTGATTGACGAAACTCTCCCCGAAGCAGTTTATCGGTAATTATTTGTCAACAAAATACTCCCAAACCATTAAGCATAATTTCAAGCTTATATGTCTACTTCAAGAGCAAAACACTTCAAGCCTCAAAAAATTACACTCTTCCACAGTATGGTACTTTGATCGACTAAATTAGTGTGTTTTAATGCTTTAGACATATAGACTGTCTTTAGTTATACATTGTTCGGCCAATAATCACAACAGTATTAGCTTTCAAGCAATCCGCTTGAATGTCACCTTGTTAAAAGTATACTTCAGGCAACAGAGGTCAACAAGATGAAACTAAATGCTTATTTCAGTTGTGACCCAAGTGGTCTAGTGGATAACGCTTTGGCGTTCGAAACTATGGGCACTGGGTTCGAGCCTCGGTGGGAGCATCATCACTCACTGAAAAATGCAGGTACATCCAACTGACGAGTCCCAAATAGGACGAAATGCGCGTTATCCTGGATTCCACTGCTAGTCACCATCCACCGATTAAGTTGGATTTTTATTTGTTCCTTAATTGATCATCACGATATTTTTTCTAAGGTGGTTACATTTGTTAGACGATGATTCATGTAACATGGATGTGGATGACTCATCGTTACAATTTTCACTAAGCTGATAGTGGTAGTATCTGTAGCAGTGGCACCTAGTTATGATTCACGTACAGTTAATAATACAACAACGCCCACGCAATCCTCAATCATGCTGTGATTTACTAGTATCATAGATTTACACATGTACTATATGCATATGAAATAATTGAACATCGTAGTCATAATAATTCATATGAAATTTGAGGCTAATTTTTTTGTCATGTCACGAAATTAGTTGTTTTTATCTACACACACACACACACACAGTCACAAACACACAATCTCAAGAAAAAGAGAAAAAATGACTACAACAAGGAAATTAATGCCAAAAACAAAGATATGTGATTATTTTGAACTGCAACTGACTACCCAGTATGCTTATTAAGATTACCGCCAAAATAAGCATGAAGTATTTAAACTAAAATCTGGACATGTCTAAAGGAAATACTTGAATAAATGACTGACAGGCTATCTAATCCTGTTTTGAATGTGAAATTGTCTGGCTGTTTGACGATGTCTGTATCTGAAGTTGTTTAGTGAACTGCTGAATTGTTGATCTTGTATGACAGTGCGCTTTACACCAAGGATATGCAATATTTACCTGATGAACTGTTGAAAATGTGACAGCGGGTTTTATGAGCCATTAAGTCCTGGTTGTTTGAAACACGTTACTAACACCTACATTGAATGCTGCTGAGTGATAGTAAGTTAACAAGTCAGTTATCTTAGGGACGACCTTATGCGTAGAACAAGTAAATTTCACTTCATTCGTTTATACTTTTCAACACTCATTGGTACTTTATTGGATGGTTTAATTGATTTAAATGATCAATTGCTTATCAAAGCTTATGTGTCAACATCACTTTTGTGATAAGACCAGTTCTTAAATCAGTTAATTCCTTATCAATCGAAAAATTGTAGTCGTCTGTGTCTATGGTTTTATAACTGATTTGCTCATTACTTAATGACTGTGATGATACTCGTAAATAGACAGTCAAATTTAGGTTAATATCAAAAGCACATCAATATTTATACCATCAGACTGTAGATTAGTTTTACCTATTGATGACAAATTTTCGCAAGTGAATGTATCGACCTTTCCAAAACCTCATGGTGTTTCTACTCTCTTTTTCATTTCTTTAAGTTCCGAATACAAAATAGAACTTCAAGCTATTAGAAGTTTCAGTAACGTCTATGTTATATTCACACGATTAGGTCGTTATTCTGAAGCCCCATCATCCATTTTTTCTGGGATTACTACTGACTGTTAAATCGGGGGAGGTTGAGGATATCATTGCTTTGCTAATGCACTTTTCACAAAATCATCTAGTGAAATAATCCACATTGCAGGGCAGCTTTAGTAAATACGAACAATTACTTTGAAACACAGTGGTCAGATTAAAAATGTCTTCTGTGTTATTAGTCTCTACCTAAGACTCAAGACAAACAAAATTTTGGGAGAAATGGTGGTGGTGGTGGTGGTGGTGATATGGTTTCTAGGTAATGTAGTCAGTCTTTAAAACTATCATGATTATTATCATGTGTTTAAACACACCTGATAGAATGATCATTCAGTGTCAACAGCTATAAGTCACAAGACAAAACAATCACCCTCGGGAAATACACCACTGGTTCATTCTCCCTTCAAAAAATCAGAAATATGTACACCACTATTTTCATGGCAGTGCCAGGAAACTGTAAGAGCTAAAAATCTTCTACTGTACGGCGCAACAGGGAAGAATAGATACTACAGCCAAATGACCTTCAACCAACTTATCACATTCTTCTAGGTACAAAATGACATTTATATGATAAAAAGGCATATTGACAAGATAGGTACATATATGTTTATACATGTAATAATGAATAATATGGAGTAAATGTCTCTTATATGCTGAAAAATCAAATCTCACTTTTTCTTAGGGGTGGTTATAGAAACACACCATTCTGATCCGTCGTTTTATATATGCCAAAAAGCCTTCAATAGAATTTGTATGAATACCAGTTAAAGAATCCACTTATTCTGATGAATGACTGACTTGATTGTCAATGTAACCTAATGATGATGACTGCGTCACTAAGCATTTTAAGTGAAAGCTGTCCATAATCTTCGTTCCAAGTTCCACCCTAACGTTAACCATAACTCTCACCTTGAATCAGAATAAAACTCGCATTGGAGATTATCAAAAGCGCTCATTTGTTATACTGAAAGATCTGATTGGTTGGTGTAAGGTCATTTTGTTGTGGTATCTATTCTTTGGTCATGTCCTATACCACAGGTAAATCTGATCCAATAAGAAGTGAAGTTCTATGCTATAATTAAATATTTTGAATTACAGCTTTCATACACTGTCATCTTGTATTTTCAACTGTCAACTGTAAGTGTGGAAAAATGGAGAGTGCATTTTTTTTAACGAAACTGTACTCTAAAAGTTAAAAGTGGCTGGATGAAGTAGGTACTTGATGATTAACCAGTATGTTACAGGGGTGAATCTACTCCCACTTTGAATGGTCAGTGTTGTACCACTAAGTGCAGGTTATTTTTTACTTAACGATTACTTACGTTTTACATGGTACTGTAAGAATAACTTAAAATACTACAGCTTATATTTTTTTGAAAAATTTCTGCCATAATGCACAAATCCTCTTGGCTAACCCAGTTTCTGCAATAAATTTCTTCTCTATTCCATAGTTTGACATAGCAGATATGTACATGATATCACTGAAGAGACTTTTAAAACATTTTGATTGAACGGCTGAAACAGTAGTATTTATTGGTTGAATGACAACTTGTGCGACATCAGGATAGCTATTTGTGCTATGCACCGAATTTTCAAAGTCAATCAATTAAGTGTGCGGGGCAAGCGCTTTACCACACTGTAACTTACTGCTACAGTTTCGTGATGATTAACCTGAAATATGCATATATATATATATATATATATATGTATATATACGTAGTTCCTCAGCATTACACAAAACTGATCCGTTTCCACGATAAAATTAATCCATTCAAAAATATGCAAATTTCAGTTTCAAAAAAAATAAATAAATAAAAAATCTCTACCGAGTATTACTCACCAAGTCTGCAAATGGACAACATAACCAGCTTATAATTTCTGAAATCATAATAAAAAGATAATAAATATTACGATAATTTATAATAATTTGCAACCACCTACACTAACATCTGATTGGCTACTCCCAAGTAGGAGTTAAAATATGTGAGTGATGAAGCAAATCCCTTTATCGAAAAATTCCTTAACTGGGAAGTGAGGTAGAGTAATGGTGACTTTCTCAAATACATATATGTATATATAGGTTAGCATAGTTACAATGATTATTTAATTCGACATACTGACGAAGATGAGGTTTAAAGAGAACAACAATTTTAACTCGATATGAAAGTTCTCAGATGTGATGGCAGATGAACATAAATCACAAGAGACAAGGGTGTTGCAAAGCAGAACAGTGTTCGCCATACACTTGTCTAATACCTAAATTAGTTCCTTTTTTACTGAATACAGGTGTGAACACCATCCGCATTGAAACAATTTGAAGTAATATCTTTTATAACTGCAGATGGAAAAAGGTACTAAAACATACTGGATCTGTAGTGGATATACATGTTGCATTAGCCACAGTTTGTCGATTCATACGGCCAACGCTACTGCGATATAAAGAAGTCGGAAATATACTGTTTTCCGTCGATTTCTACTTTTTGTGGTAAATGACTCTAAGTGTTGAGGTATTTGAGATGTTGTGACAAGTGTTGATAAGGTGTTCAGTTATAGTCCTTTATTCCGGATTACCCACCATGACTCTAGCCCATATCGAACCATGCAGACACAAACACTTGAGGTTAAAACTAATTTCAGCATAAGTGTATGGTACGAAAAGTAGGCAATTTGATTTAAATTATCAATAAATGCTTCTCTAAATACTTTTTCGATAAACGAAAACACGCGAGCATATTTTGTACATACTTATGTCTATATTTTGCTCCTTACAGAGGCCTACAAATGAATGATTTAATCTTCTCTTACAGATACTGATGTTTTTAGCATGATCCGGACGACTGAGCCAACTGAATCTAGATGATTCCTGGATGAGTTTAGCCTCAGACAAAAGAAATAATATTTCTATGTCTGATCTAGTTTCCGATATCCATTATCCGTACATATAATCTTCCTTTTGTAATCTTCAATTCCGATGTACCCAGCAAATGTTTATTTTTTTGTCTTAAAATATAATTGAGCTGTGAACATCAATCAATTTAATGTTGTTTGATGGATGGTGACTAGCAGTGGAATCCAGAACGCCTATTCCATCCTATTTAGGACTTGTGAGATGGATTTGCCCTCATCCCCTACTGAGTGATGGTGTTCAAAGTGAAACTCAAATCTATTAACCATCCTTTCAAACTACAAAACTTTATCCACCTTTGCCCATGTGGTTTTGTGGATAATATTGTGGCGTTTGAAACGATGTTTACTGGGTTTGAGCCTCTTCAGGAACACCATCACTGAATGTGGAATGCAGGTACACCAAGCTGGCGAGTCTATAAGAGGACAAAGTGAGCATCCTGGATTCCACTGCTATCTACCATTTGCTAAATTACTTCAGGTTAAATCCTTAGACATTGTTGAAGTATCAGCACAAGGAACCTAGATGTCAAAAAAGCTTAACACCTCGGTCCAGTCAATGGACGAGAAAATCCAGATTGAATAAAAAAATTAATCATTTTATTTATCACGTTTTGAAATAGAATCACTTTGAATTCAGGTGATCAGTGACTGGCTCACTGGTCATGCGAAAAAAGCTGCCCAGTGTAAAGGTGTATAGGTTCTTGAAACACACTTTAGTTCACTAAAACAATGATCGTATTTTACCTAATTTCAATACTGATGGACTACAAATTCAAAGGGTTGCGTTCTTTATTCACCAGAAATACGATCTATGCTCTGTCCTGCTTTACAGCAAATTAGTCAGAATACATATATACTGGTGGACAGATTCATTCCATTCTTAACATTTTTCTTGAAGTTTTTATTCTAAGTATGTAAATCGGTGAATGTGTATCATCAGTAACAGTTACATCGTTAGAACAGGGAGAAGGACTTACCTCAAAATTTTGAAATTACCTTAGGTTAGTGAGGTTGTGCATCTTAAACACTTTAGTCTCTAGCATTTGATGGACAAAAAGCATCAGGTGAATGCTAAGAATCCCTTGGAATGACCAGTAAACAAAACAGCCTTGACCTTCTTCAGTTCACTGAGGTTGTCTTGATTGACTATTTGGGAACTAACTAGCTCCTTTTAAAAAAATCCATTGCTAGTTACGTCACCCACTGACATCAGTCAGAATAGCATTGGAAATCTGTGGGGTCATGGCTGTGTAAAGGAAAAGGTGTTCAGCGAAGAGGTACTCTTTTCAACGATATCACTCTCAAGCTGTACAGTCATTTATATATATATATATATATATACAGTAAATTTCCTTAGGAACAAAAGGAATATTTCTACAAATATGTCATTAGAATGGCAAATTTAAGATCTCTTATTAACACTCTTGTTAACTTGACTCTCTTTCAAATTTTAGTTGAATTCTACTCGACTCCGTCAATTATATTAGGTCACTGAATTTACTTATTCAACTTGACTTCAGTTTCTACCCGATTAATGCCCTCTGCGGTGCGTAATTTGTTGTTTAAAATTTAGAATTCTTATGAAAACTCTTTGGAAATGTTCCTTTTGTTTTAAAACGCGTTTACTATAAGTACAGGACAGTACAGCCGAAGAATGATATCACCGTAAAGGTTAATTCTTTACTGGACGTCTTTTTTATATGACTCAAAGGTGATTTTCATTGTTATGTACTGGTGAAGTGTCCCAGACTAGGACGAAACAGCTGACTAGTTCTTCTTATTTTCCAAAGCCTCGCTAACTGATGCATTTCATGGTGTGCCTTGAAAAGAATCAAATCCTTACAAACTATTGCTTGAAAATAAATCGAATGATCAGGATGCAGTTGCCTGGAATTCTAGTGATAAGGCATAAACAATAAAGTTCAGCAAGTCGGGTACTACGACAGATGCTTACCAGTGATGTTAGCTAGCGGTGGTGCAATATATTGCGAATCTTGTAGACTTGAAATTCATCAAATGCTGGATTACTTTCTAGTACCTAAATAGTCAAAGTACTGACCTAGCGACCTGAAGATTCTGGGTTCGTTCCCTGGTGGCATAATAATAATAATGATTTACTTTATTCCAAAAACAGTACTTGTTATACAGAATGGAATTTTCAGCACTAATCACAATATTGCATCCAATTTCCTCAAATTATAAATAAAAATTAATCACACAGAAAAGTCTCCAAATTTACAAAAGACGTAATGTCAAAAACATGCAGCATATAAAATGGAAATAGCAATAATAATGAAAACAGCTATGGTAATAATAATAAGAATACAAGTGAAAATTGCCGTGGGCTTGTTTCACACAGTATTGTCGATGCGGTATAGAAATCCTAACATGTTTAAAAATATTGAATATAATGTTCTCTTTACATGATGATGATAGTGAGGGGAAAAACAAAGATTACAGCAATCATAGTCATAAGTTGGTGTTTGCAATAATGAAAGTAAAACAAAGAAGTAACAGGACCATAAATATCATAGAAATAATAAAAGTAAAACTTGAAGGTAAATAAGTATGGATGGAGGAAATTGTTTATTTACTAGATGACAGAAGGTTAGTTAATTCTTGCCTGACACTATCTTCACTTCATGCATTTATTCCCCTTGATAAATTTGAATAAAGCGAGAACAACATTGATTTGTGCAGAATAACATGGTACCATCATTTATTTCGTTGGCTTCTCGTCAGCTGCTTACAGCCTAAATAAATTTTTAGGTTTAAGTACAGAAACGTTTTTACGTACTTGCAAATTTTACATGTTGACAGAAAGTTTCACAACTAGTAAACAGTGCTCAGAAAATTGCGCTTATATAGTTTTTACACAGGCAGTTCAAGTTAAAAAATAATAAATAAATGTATGTATATAATGGTAAGGGATGTGCGTTGGATGCATAGTGACTAATAAGTTAGGTAACAATGTACTGAGTTGAACTCAAATCATAGAAACAAGAGACAAGCAAAATTATAAAAGAGGGTGAGGTTAAATAAAAACAAAGATTACGCAATCAGATGGGAGAAAAAAGACATCCAGTTACCAAGGCAAGGAAAGACTAATAACTGATTCTTTCTGAACACATAGATCTGGTTTCAAGCGTTTTATAGAAATTGCTTCGGCAAACTTGAGGAGAATGGAGCTCCTTTGTCTATTGATAATTTTGAAGGATTTCTCGATTTCCACCTCATGACCCGTGTGAAAACTGTGCTCAGTGATCCGTTGAGGTTCAAAGTCGACGACTGCCAGAAAGACAAGACAGATGCAACCGAAAAACGCATCACAAACGTATTGAGAGATCTTCTAAAGAAGAAATTGATTGACAACAACACGTACAATGAATTGAAACCCCGAGGGTCCCGCTTGCCATATATGTATGGCCTTCCAAAGACACACAAGAAAGAAGTCCCTCTGAGACCTATACTTTCGATGATCAACTCTCCCCAACATAAGGTTGCCCGTTGGCTCGCGGAGAAGTTGGAACCCATTCGCCAAAGGCTGGCCGCGCACACCATAAAGGACTCATTTCATTTTGCTGAAAGCGTGAATCACATGAACGTTTCAAATAAGTTCATGGCTTCATTTGATGCAACCTCCTTGTTCACAATGATCCCAATCAATGAAACCATTGAAATCATTTGTCAACAGTCTGATCTTCTCCCACTACCAGAGCCGGAATTCAAACGCCTACTGCTGATGTGTACCATGGATGTACAATTCCAGTTTGACAACACTCTTTACCGACAAATAGATGGTGTAGCTATGGGCAGTCCACTTAGCCCTGTTTTAGCAGATATCTTTATGTCAAACCTTGAGAAAACAAAGCTGAAGCATGCAATTGATCAAACAACTTCCTATTGTCGATATGTCGATGACACATTTGTAGTATGCAACAATGAAAGTCATGCC